CTATCCTTTTCCATGCTAATGAAACCTCACCGTTTGTAAGACTGACTTAGTGAAGTATTTTGCTGAATAAGTCTTACAGAAAATAATAATACAACGTGAGCAGTGAAGGAAAGAAAAGTCCTGAAGCACGTCCTGTGTTGCAGGTAGAATATCTCTAGTTAAGAAGGGCTACACAATAAACCTATAAAAGCCTTCTGCAGACACAAATACATTTTTAAAAAATCTGAACAGAAAATGATTTCAGTATAACCAAATACTATTTCTTGCTGAGGTAAGCTAATGTAACAGTGAAATCTCTGGCACTTAACAGCACTTAGAAAAATACACAATGCAATCTTGGAAGAGAGGCAAAGACAGATGGAAACGAACAATAAATGAACGGATGGCTAGACAGACAGAAAACTCACCCACTATTTTATCTGCCATCTGCTTCTCCTTGTAATTGTACCTTTATACGATTAATTCAAACCTCAAGTTTCTCTTCCTGACACTGGAAATTATACAAGGAGTGTTTATGACAGAGTGGAATGTGTTTAAACAAAAACAAACAACAAAATTAAAACCTCACAGTATTTGAGAGCAGAGGCTCTTGAGAAAGTCTTCTTTAAAAATAAACACTCTTGTTGTTTCCTTTATTTTCCTTTATTTTCCCATATTGTTCTTCAATCTTCCTCCAAGAGAGGGGCTAGAGATAAGCAGAGAAGAGATGAAAGAAGGAAAGATGCAGCTTTGAAAAACTCAAATTTCTTTCTTTTTGTCTAGCCAGACAGTGGTATCACTTGCAGCAATATGGGAAAGCAGTAGGAAATGTGCTGGGGTGGGAGACTTGCTCCAAGCTTGTCTTACAAACAGTGCCTTCCGTGCCACACAAAAATGCAGTCTTTTTCACCCTTCCCATCAAGTCTAATAACAGTATTTAACACTTAGAAGTCAACATGTACCAAATTATTTCAAAGCACAGTAAAGCTTCTTTCATTTAAATTTACATTTCTCCTAGGGCAAGAGGAAAGAACAACAAAAAATGTAGAGTTTAATAGTTACTAAATAAGTTTCTGGGGTTTACCTGCAGAAGTCAGTGAAATTCTATGACAAGATTCATATAGGAGGATTGGCATCTTCCAGTCTTAAAATCTGCAATACTGTGTACCATGTAAACAAAAAGATCTCAAAGATGAATATGGTTAATATTTTCTCCTGTCATCTAGTGGACAGTGATAATATGAGACCAAAACTCCTCTAAGGAAGAAATGCTTTCCTAATAAATATAAAGTTCTTCAAGAAATAGTAAATTGCTCTGAAAATAATACAGTGAAAGTTTCGGTGAATGTCAATAGGAGCCATTTTTTTCCACAGGGAGGAATCCAGTTCCACACCTTTGCTTCACACGCACTTCCACATCAGATGCCATTCTGTCAGACTGCTTCTCTGCTGCCATCTGTAGCACAGCAACAAAATGTAATGGAATATTGTTGGGAAGATTCAACCTGCCATATCACCGACATCTGCCTCAGACATCCTGGGCCACCACAATGAAATAGGAGGCATTATTTTTGCAATCCCCCATGTAAGATAAGCAAAGCACACAGTATGGCTAAAGATACATTTATAATCCAGCCTTACAATACTTTTTAAAACAATACAACTCCCACATGATGGACTTTAGGAATTGACTCACCAGCTGCATTACACTGTATCTACTGTAACTATCACTTTCTGTCCCCATTTACTAGACTCAGAGAAAGCACAATAAAACCATTTTCAACAAGATTAGCACATTTAGAATCAATCAATGTTATCGATGCAAAGAACAGAGTGTTTTCTGGTAGCAAAAGAAAATATACATTTCCATTTGAAGCTTCCACTAATTTAGATTTCTTACTTAAAAGGAGCAAAACACTTCAAGCTGTCTCTGGTGGCCAATTCCTGATGAGAATGGGATTGGGATGGAGCACTAAATCACTGCAATGAAGGACACCGTTCTTCGGCACTGATGTAGTGTGTTTTTATAGCAAAAACATCACACTGATTTCAAAACCATGCTGTACTCAAGCATTTCAGAGCGCTGTAAAGACTCTGCAAGAGTTGCGGCACCAAATTTTATCAGTTGTGTCAGTTTGATTGGATCGTATCGCAGCTTCAGAGATGCCGTCTATGTAGTAATATTTTATTGTTTGTATCCCTGACAGAGATTGTAACATCTCCCTCTAGAAATGTGCTTAGAAAGCCGTAAATAAAAAGTGAAAATTTGCAGGACTAGTATTCCAGGCTGTGAACAGCAAGAAAGTATATTCACAATAGACCATTGTTAGCGTTTTGTGATCCCTACTTGAGTGTAAGTGCTATTTTAGCAATTGAATAATGATGGAGAAAGAGCTAAAGCCACTTTTCTTTAGGTCACAAGGCTGAAAAAACCTGCATTTCCATTTTAGTATTTTAGTTCCCTATCTTAAAGTTACTCAACAGAGAGCATTCTCTAAGATATAATCTTATGATTAACTACTAGACTAAAAGACTAATTTGACTGAGCAGAAACTTTGTGTAAGGAATATCACAGCACATATACAGTGCATAGAGTTGGTGCTTCTGAAGATACTAACAGGCATTTTGTGCCTATCTGGCATGCTACCTTCTATGTTTGCAGAATTGTTTATGTGTTCAGTATCTCAGATGACAATATGAACTCATCTAACAGTGAGTTTTCTTTTAGCTGACATAGCGGAGAGCTTTTCTCTGAGAGCAGAGAGCTGCAGAGTTTGCAACTCTTTTGTGTTGGACCTGATCCAAAATTCATTCCAGCTGATGAAAATACTCCCATTGGCTTCAACATATGCTATATTAGGCCTCTGGTGCAATTAATTGCAGTGACAGGATTTGAATGCTGAAGTTCTTGAACTCTCATGCTACCTAGATATATTAAAACTTACAGAACAAATGTAAGGCTGTGCTAGAGGAAGCTATTCTCCCCAGTGTCCATGTTACTGCCTACCACAAAAATACCACCATTTCTCCCAGCCACTGTGAAATGCACACAGTTTTCTTCTTGAAGATCAGAAAAAAATATCAGCTGCACCATCCCAATATTAAACAGCTACTTCAGAGCAAGGAAACTTATTTTTAGCAGTATGTAACAGCTCAAAGGTGGACTGCCCTAGGAGTTGAGAAAAGTCAACCATTTCATTTAGTAAATTACAAATTCATAGTAAAAACCTTTATTCATCTCAGGCATGTACCTATATCACATTTGCCATGCACTGCTTGGGACGTTCTATGGACTGAAACATGCAGTTCTCAGGCAAGAAATCAAACCCAACTTTTCAAGTATCACCTTATGATATATGCTTTAAAACCAGTTTCAGCAGCCAAATTTTTTGTCCCTTCTGTTTGCTCAAAAAAAAAAAAAACAAAAAACAAAAAACCACACAACCAAAAACTACTACTTCAGAATTTAGAATTTACATGACGTGTATGAATGATTCCTTCCCGTTGTAGTTACCTGGTATTTTTGTCACACTGCTGCTGTGATTGAATACGTGAGATTACACAAAGTCCTATTGATAAATCATCAAAAACTGGAAGTGCTTAAGAGAAAAGAGGTAGCGAGTGCAAACAGGAACAGAAAAAACATAGAACAGAGGGAAAATCCCAAGTGCCTCAGTGATGTGAGATGTCATAACTAGCATATGAAATTCAGGTAACTTGATGATTTTACACTGTCCCCTTGTTACTTCTAGCAGACAAGCAACTCCCTCCGTTGTTTAGTAGAACAATGCTTAGACTCTGTGACAGCAGTGTGACCAAGATTTGCCAAGTTACAGGCCACTGAAATCTGAAACCAAAGTGAATTGTACTACTCCAAGAACTTATTTTTCTTAAAAATAATAGAAGATATCACCATCATGAGAATGAAATATCCTGGAAGACTGTTTCAAGTGAGCAAGCATTACAGGCTATCCTACAGGCTAACTACTTGAGGTATTTTCTGGAGATCCTATCACTGTCATAACAAAATTTTCATGTGCGAGGCAGATAAATATGGATAGCAACTGAGCTGCAAATTGACCTTGTAGGCTTGGGATAGATTTAGTCACTGCTGCCAAAAAAATTTTCAGGTACATCAGAGATTTGTGCCCAGGGGTCCTCTTCTTACCCAACTAACTTGTAATCACAACTGTCAGTTTCAGAACATTCATATGACCCTGTGGAGTGTAATGCGAGTCAACCATCTGAATGTGAAATTTGTTAGACAACTGCAGCGTGCTCAGTGGGAGCAGATTGTGAGACAACAGTGATGTATAAGAGAAGATGAAAGAGTAGGTTAAAGGGTTCCTGCAGTGGTTTTACAGGTTTGGGAATAGGTGTGCACATATTATGCCAGTGTGTCTCCTCACACACCTCAAATGAGATCGTTCAGATGCTGTGAAAACTTCAGCAGTAACAGAACTTGACACCTATCTCATCCAGTATCAGGGTATAACAATGATTGGACTGCACTTTAATAAGTCTTGCCATTTCTTGTTTATCAAGGACATTGGGCTCTGAAAGCACAATTTGCTAGATTGCAAGCTTGCTGTAAGAGGTACAAGCTGCCCCCCCCACATCATTCTATCCATTACCCACGGTACCTCTCAGTCTACACCAGTCATTCATCTGTAAATCATTCCAATCATTTAAAGGGGTCTTGAACACTACTAACTTGTATCCAGTTCCAGCGGAGCTGATGTATTACCCCTACCTCAGTTACATTGCTTTAGCCTTCAAAATCTCAAAAATAATCTACTGATACAGTTAAAGGCTTTGCATAAGGCTGAATCTTCAGGCAAAAAGACTACTTGGCAGGCCCTCACTGAGCGATCTGTAATATTTTTTTTCCTCTTGTTTAATTTTAATTTTTACTTCTTACTTTTATTTTTCCCCATAATTTCTTATGCTGAAGTAGGCACTTACAGAGACAAGCAGTACTGCTATTAGAAGAATCAATACTTGGATTTCACGATACTTACACTGCTTACTGCTTTATTCTGTTTGCTTCCTATGCCCTTCATCTGTGAAGAATAGCGATCAATTATGAAGATCTGTCAGGTTTGTTATTACATGAGATCATTTATTCTGTTAAGAGGGTAGAGCAAAGTCAGCAAGCCAAGAACATGCGAAGTCAACTGCAGTTTCAATGCCTACAATTAAAGCTTATAACAAAGACAAGCATATATTCAGTCAGAATGTAAAGGTTAAGAACAAAGGGGCAACTCTCTTCAATTCACAATATGCAGCTTCCAAATTTGTAAAAAAAAATTTATCCAACAGTGTTTTTACTTAAATGTTTTCCATCATAAAAACAGTCAACCAGAGCAGCACTTAGCAGAACCTTTTGATACTGGACCAAGAGAAAGTTATCAAAAGATGGCACAGTTCAGGTTTTTGGGGAATTACAGCTAGGGCATACAGCTGTGGTCTTCTCTTCCATATCTAAATCAACTCAGATTTGCCAAAACTAACAGACGCCCAAAGTGCACTGTAGCAGGTAAAGAGAGAAGAATTAGCAGTGTTAGCAGACTACAGATTCAATATCTGTAAGAGCTTTTAGTTGGTATAATTAAGCTCTCCTATTCTAATAAAAAAAGGTGGACACAATATCATTAAATTTGCAAACACATTCAGTTGCTAATTAACAAAAAACTCAGTTCTCAAACACATATGCATCAAGTTTAGGCATAGAAATAAAGTCAAAGACAGATTTCATTTCTTAAGGTTCTGTTCTTGAGATAAAAGACAAAGAAGAGTGCAGAAATTCTTACAGTGATTTTCAACTGTTGCTTTGGTAAAGAATTTCTGAATATTTAAACTTTTTCTCATAGCGTGAATTCTGATACTTGCAGCCATTTCTAAGAAAGGACCTTTAACCACCTACCTTGTTGAAACTGAAAGCAAAGACACTGCAAAGTCCAGGAGCAATGCCAGAACTACAAGTTCTCTACTTAGTTACAGAGCAGGTAGAGTCAAAGCACAACATACTCAAGATGTCTTCTCTCCTCAGCAAACACCTCACCACAATTTAGAAATGACTACATTGAAGATAAACATTTGTTCATTTTGTATGCCCACCTGGCAGTGATTTAAAGAGCTAATTAGTGCCAAGCTTGTTTTGGAAGTAGAGTGAGGCCCTGATCCTAAATGAGCTTAAGCACTCATTACCACTCACGTGCCACCTGGAAGCAAATTACTTTGGAGCAGCTGAGCCCAGTCTCTACTGGAAGACACACAGACCTACATCTTGGCTCCTCTCTTGCTTTCCTGTTAGTAAAATCCAGACATGAAGAAACCATCCTGTGTGTGCTTTGACCTTACAGACATGAAGTATAGACATTCAAATTTAAACTCCACAGAATGCGGTGGAGATTCTCCAAATATAGCAGTAGGAAAGCATTTAAGATTGAAATTTTCTTGTTTCTTGTTATTCCCCTGTATTATCTCATGTACAGATTTCTTCTAAAATACAAATAATGTTAGCATATATATTTGTAAATACAAAATCAGAGCCTCCATACTACTGTGAATGTGACCTAATGGCATTTATGTTACTGTGTCTGTCCTGGGTCTGTTGATATGTTACACAAGCAATGACAAGGTGTGGAGAAACAATTCAGAAGAAAAGAAATGCAATTCTAAATGTGTTATGCCTATCTACATTAGTAATGCTGGTCATGGATCCTATCTGTTTGTAAATTTCAAAGCAAAATATCTCTGAACTTGCAAAGTCAGGACAGATATGCTCATCTTTTTCTTGCTACATAAAATTAGCATGTACCAGAAAACTGAACTGATTAAAAGAGTCTCTCCAGCAAAATATAAGATACCAGATCTTTTTATAAACTTTGCTGCTGACTCTTGACAGAGGTAAGAATTTAAGGTGCATTGAGATGCTTAAGAGATTCCTACTATTGTGAGAATGTTAAGAAGTGGTTATATGCTGAGAAGTGACTCTGAATAAATATCATTGTGAAGTTCCAAATTTATTTTCTCTCAAAGTCTTATGGAATAAATTTCCCCACTTTACAGGTAAAGATGTATTTTCTCTAGCTGACAGCCTTGCAAAATCTGAAAGTCACAGCTGTACATTTAGCCTATGCATTTCATTACTGCTCTTATGATGTGGCACCTTAGTTAAAACTATTGTTAATTTAAGACAAAAAGTCATCCAAACTCCTTCCCAATAGCTCTGATTGTACAGGATGAACAAGAATAGGACAACCTTGGAGATTTTTTTTTGTCCAAAAGAAAGAAGACATACAGGGAACAGATCTAATGAGTGTGAAGGGGACACTATATCTATCTTCACTTTTCTTCCAAAACAGAGAAGGAATACAGGGACAAAATTCTGTTCAGGCAGTTGCAAGCAGTAACTAGGTTTTTTGAACTCAGTTTTCTCGCATTCTTCTGCAGCTTACCTACCAGTCTAGTTTGCTTATACAAAAATTATGAAATAAATAACCCCCAAATTAAATATTTTCTGTGTTCTGACTATGAGAAATACCTAATTTGTCTCTAGTTCAAGCATGAGTAAAGGTGCCATCTTCCTAACACATAGTACTGTGACTGGCTTAATAGTAACTCTAGAGTGCAACAACTCTATAGCCCAAAGGCAGCTGTGCCCCAGAGCCAGCAGATGAAGGTAGTAGCTTATACACTATGTTCAATTCCTCTGCTCAGAGATCAGAGCTGGCAGTTTCATTAGTATCAGTTAGCACTGCTGTTCTGCTCAGAAGAACAGGCAGTTAATTGCCAGAGCTTATTTCCACATTGCTTTCGTCTTTTGTTGAGGTGTGTGAACTTGCGCTGATAAAATGTTTAACATAAACACAGAGCTATACTGGGCATTTCTATGCTGTGTTTGCCCTGAAAGATTCCTTTGTGGAGACCAGTGCTTATGACCGTGATGGCTGCAGCTGCTGTGGACTATTAAGTAAATCTTCAGACATTTCGCTGCTGATCTGAAGTCCCCTTGACTTTAGTGGAAGACCTCTGTGGAAAACGTCTCACTTCAGCTTCATGCTTGAATACAATTAGCCTTGTGATGTATTAGGAAACTGGGCAACCTGCAGTACAGCCACACATTAAGCTTCAGATATAAATCCTTTTCTAACAGCCACTGAATGTAAAGAACAACTAGCGCACATCCTAAGATTCCTATAAAGTTATAACCATGGCAAAAGAGGGACACAAATCACTTTGATATTTGATTTTCCTGAATCATAACATGGTTTGAGGAAAGTCCATTAATCTGCTGATCTGGGCTCAAAACTTTCTTGAAGGTTAGAGAACTTTTCTGAACAACTATTATGAGTAAGAGAATAAAAATCTAGTATTTTATCCTATTACGTCTAGAGCTTTCAGAGGAAGTCTGGATATTACTTAGTAATACCACAGCTCTGATGGACCATTTTCATCAATAGGTCTCAAATAATTCTGTGAGGGAATTATTTCATCATCCTATTTTCTAGATGGGAAAAATGAAGCACAGAAAAAAAAAAAACATTATGATGCAGGAAATCCGAATTTGAGCTATCAGCATCCCATTGGTTGTAATTTCATTCACAAGCCACATGATATGCTTTTCAGTAGAATGCCATCAATGGAGTAAATAAATGGGTAAAATTAATAAATATGCAGTATTTGATGACTGTCTGATAACAGTGCTAAACTGTTAGAGTATCAACCAATAAGTTATTTTAGAGGTCTGATTTTCAAAGAAGCTAAAAACTCCTGGTTCTTATTCAGAACTGCAACTAGCCAGATTATTTGCTCAGATTTTAAATAGTGACATTGATTTGAAGAAGTAATTACACAAAATATTCTCTTAATGCCTGCTTGCAACATCACAATAGTCTTCAGATATTGTCCATGATAATTGTGATGTAGTATAACTGGTGGAGCATTTTTGAGAGCTATTTCGATGCTGCCCCAGTGCTGCCAATGAAGAATACCTTGCTTAACAGTAACAAAAATTTGCTCTTAAGTTTCCACTCATCGACTTCTTTAAATCAACACGCTATCATAATTTTCAGGAAGGTACATTTTATATCTGGCAGTGGGGGACAGCTGTTGTCCCTAATTTCATGAATCTGTATCCATGCTCCTTTACAGTCTTACTAAAAAAGTTCTTGTTTTTCTCAAGGATTTCTTTTAAATATAAGGATGGAGTTGGCCTTTGCATTTTTTCCCCCTCCAAATTATATATTTTCTTGGAAATGGGAAAGCTTTGGAATATTTTCACAGAAAATAATAATGGATGGATTTTTTTTCTTTTTTTTTTTTTTTTTTTTTTTTTTTTTTTGATGCACATCTAAGTCTTACGAGACCTACATGATAACAAGTCACACTCCATTTTATTTTATTAATACTGGCCCATAGCAAAACCAAGCATTTTAAATTGCTTGAGAAACTTCCAACTACAAAAACAAACAAACAACAAACCTGTGTAAGGAAAAATGCCCATATAGCATTGGTGGTATCTTCTTTGTTGTGCATGTGGAGAGCAAAGTGAAGACCCCTGTACTCCTCACTCTTTACATGCAGAAATAAATATTCAAAGCGCTGGTTCTTGGTAAAAACGTTTAGATAATCCATCCAACCAGAATCAAATGATTAAAAATACCTCTTTTTACAGACACAGTCGGTCCTCAGGTTTAGATTTTGCCTGAACTCTTTGAAACATGCATTTTTTGTTCATTTTTTTGTGGCTAGAATCTTCTACACACATTTTGAAATAACACTAGAGGGCAACAATGCATGGGATATTCAGAATTTATATACCTGAGAAGGGTTGAAATGAGTGGTCTTCGTTTGTTAAGTTAAACAAAATTTACCCTTCACATGTTTGTTTTAATTTGAAATGGACTTGTGCCCAAATAGCAAAAGAAGAAAAAAGAGATTTTAAGAGGACCAGGAAGAAAAAAATGGTTTCTTTTTCAGAGTGCTGTGATATTCTTAAAAGAAAGTGAAAATCTTTATTTTTGAGAATGATTCAGGGAAGTAGTGTCACTTTGAAACAAAATGTTAAGGAATGTTTTAAGATCCCTGAATTTGTTCTGTATTTTGGTGAAACACTGACTGAGAAAATTTTCTTAGAAAGAAATGGGAGAAGAGGGAAAATGGAAAACAGAAGGAAAAAAGAAAAAGGGGAAAGAAAAGAAAAGAAAAAAAAGAGAGAAAAAGTATAGATACAGTTATAAGCCATGCGACTTTTCATCTCTTCATTAGAGGCATCTCACCTGCACAGACCAAAGATTGTGCTTACCCTTACTGTCAAGAGTCTTCATAAATTTTAACTTTAATTTTAGCTAGTAGATCTGAAAACTGGAAGTTTCATAAGGGAGTGGCAGAAGGGCTTGGTTTGGTTTTCCTTGCTCTTGAATCTAATTTATCACATTTCATGTAGTGTCTTGGGCCATATATTATATCTAACAACTTTGTTTGCTCAGATTGCTAATAGTAAATGATATTGTCTACAGTCTGGATTTTGTATGGTGCTGAAAAATAAAAATCTTTTTATCTTGCTGCTTTCAAGACTTAATAATTTCAGAGTTTTTGGGTGGATTTTTGTCCTGAATTTACAGCTGTGGTGATTAACATCTTCAGGGTACATTTAGACTAGAGAAGGTTTTACCTGAAAAACCCTTGTTTTGGGAACACGAAGAGCTAAAATAATGATTCTGGATTCAGCCTGGAAAAAAGAGATATAAGCATGAAGTGAACTTTTAATGGTCTGTAAGAGGACATGACTGCGTAGAAGAGTTTTCATAGCATTGCTAATTCAATAATAATAACAGCAACAGTGCTTACCTCTTGTGTTTCACTTTCTATCAGCAGAACACAAGTAATTATGCTAATTTCATATCTTTAAGCAAGTGTTATCAAAAAAAGGAATGTGATAATGAATGTAGCAGGACTAATTTTTGTCTCCTCTACTGAGGTTAGATGTGGAGGAGGGCCAAACAGCAGGTAAACTTTTTTGACTGATCAGTGGGATCTCCTTAAAGGTGAGATGGGGATCATGCTATGGACATAAGTTAATCTTGCTATTTTGTGTAAAGCAAATGCTTGTTAGATTTCAAAG